GTAGCACTAAGAAAGGAAGCTATAAATCAAAAATAGTGGGTTAATATGGAAAAAGAAAAAAAATAAACTATGAAGTTCCACAGAAGTTATTATTCAGCTAAAGGACTGTACAGCAGATTGTTTTCCTGATAATGAAAAAAAATTAGATATAATATTGCTCTTGACGAGTAGAAAAAATCAAACCTTGCACTTGAACGGACTGATCCTGCGTCTTCGCCAGTACAGAGTATTTGTTATTTTTGTTATACTCGGGCTCGAGGAACGCCACTGGGAAACAGGACGCAAAAGCCGACAGACATTGACCAAGGCCAGGACGATGTCTGAAACAACAGAGGGTCTATCTGAAAGCAAAGCCTCAGTAGGAAAAAGAAAAACAGGAGAAACAGGTAGTGGTATTCTAATCCTTTGCGAAGCGCATTTTGATTTTGAGTGGTTATTCGTGATTTTGACCGACCCAACAAAAACCTACTTGTCCGTTTCATAGCCGATGGATTTTCTCTGAGCTGCTGTTGAAGCCAGTCCAGTAACCATGTAAAGCGAGTCGAGGATTTTGTACCCAGCTGCTTGGATGTCATCCACTGTAATCACAACAAAATTGAGGATCATTAAAACCTATTACATTGCTGCCTCAATCGAGTGTTGACCTACGCTTTGCTTTTCACGTGCACTCATTGTCATTTTTGGATTCTTTTTTGACAATAACCTTATGAATATCCTCCATGGTAGGAAGGAGAAACAGTGCAAAAGGAACATGGCGATCTTAGCCGCATGTGTGTAGGGTTCATAGTGTAGAGTAGATTGAGAATATAACTCATCGGTCAGCCACAGACCATCGTGGGGACCATAGAAACCTTTAATCACTCTCAGGCAAACTACCAATCCACTGACATCCCACGGTTTCAACTGTACACGCAACCGTAAGTTTGAGGGACTATTCCACGATAACGTCGAAGGTCGAAGAAGGGCAAAGTTAGCTGGAAAAGCGACAGGCCAACCCATATTCGCATGGGAGGATATGCCACCGACGATCTAGCATGGCCCTCCCCTCGGTGCTCCCCACGCCCAAACATTCAGAGACAGGCAGTTTCAGAAGGATCTTATCGAACGTATCCATTTGCGAAAGAATGAAAACAGCCTAGTTCTGTCCCGCGATACTACGTTACTTCAAATCACAAGAGGAGCAAGAAAACAAGCACAGATAAGTAATAGGAATTTTCAACAGGATCGGATTTTTTCATGCGTTATAGAAGCTCCCTGAATGAAGGCAGAGGCAAATCTCAATAAAATTCGGTACCTAATACGCTCGTAATGTAGAGAAATGAAACGCTCCCAGGTGTCGGTGCTGCATCCTATCGCATGCTGTGGCGAAAGGAAGCTCCGGCCTTGTCTTACTACTTACTCACTTTTCTGGTTTAAGTGTAATGCTATGAATTAAGTTTATCATAGACCGAACTATCAAGCGAATAATTGCAACTAACTTCACAGAGAACATCTGTTCCGAAATGATTTCTAGCCAGATGAGTGAACATCGTGGTGAGAACTGGTATGATCATCTGGTGAGCAAACTCCAGGGAGATCCATGACCTCAGATTTTGACCTCGGATGAGTGAGTACTGACCGTTGTCCTAAAAAAAGAGTTAGATAGCTTTGACAGTTTCTTTATCTGTTGCATAGCAGAGGAAAAGGTTTTGAAGGAAGAGATCAACACTGGAACTCTCTTCTGTACCACGAAGACACTTTAAAGCATGACGACTTGGTTTTAGGATACCTTTAGCTCTTTCACGGCCTGCAAACAGATCGTCAGCACAATTGTTGAAGAATGTCAATAGAGATGTACGGATGATGTCCGAGTTCGTCTTCACCAAAGTCCTTAAAAATCCTATGATTCATTATGCAGGCGATAGATGCCATGCATGCGGTTTTTATTGTTCATCTTCAACTCTTCCTACCTCCCGTTATTTATAAGGGAAGGACAATTTCAATCTTCATGCTCTGAAGAATAAATTTTGAAAAATGAGACTTGTTTTTGTTTGTTAACTGCTGTTTTTGGCCGCAGTTCGCCTTGCGAATGTTTCACAAGAATGCTGGGTTGTGAACAAAACTTTCGCCCCAGGCGGGACTAGAACCCGCACCTCTCGCTTTCCGGGCAAGTGCGCTACCAGTTACGCTACCGGGGCACCATTTCATCCCAACTCAGCTTTTCATGGTATACGTACCATAGCTTTCAGCACTCACACGTATAACACACGTACGTCCTCGACATAAGGAAAATCTTTCCTACGGTTGGTGGGATGATATAGCTCACCGTTGTGAAAAGGATGGCAGTAGGGGGGATTGTAGAAAGTGTA